GTGTGTGTGTGTGTGTGTGTGTGTGTGTCAGTACATGTGTCATGAAAGTGAGGGAATTCACAGAGAGAAGCTTGCAGTGAGATGTAAACAAGGTATTTAAGGCAGCGCAGACCAGAAAGCCAAGGGAAGGCAGGGCTTTGAGGCATTTTTATATTTGTGTTTTCCTTTCACACTTATTACTCGACAGGGAACTTTTAATTTTTTTTTTTAATTTTTTTTTTCTTTTTTACTACCGGGGATTGAACTCAGGACCCTGCACTTGCCAGGCAGGCGCTTATTCTACTGAGCTATCTCTCCAGCCCAAGGGAACTTTTTATTTCTGAACTTTGGATTACTGCTGCTTTTTAAAATTTCCTTTTACCACACTTTTGAAGTTTAGGGATTTCTTAACTTTATTTTTATAATTTAGAATCTTTATTAGAACAGCACAATATTCACTTTGGCTTATTTGACTGCAGATATAACTTTTCTCTTTGTCATCTTTATTTTTAACTTTAGAACTTTTTTATTGCAACATGGATTGTCAGTTTTGCTTTATTACATGTATGTTTTCTTCAACTATTTTAATATTGTTAATACTAGATTTTCATGCCTTATTATCAAAATCTATATTTTATTAAACTTTTTTATTATTCTGTATGTTTTTCTTAAATCTATCTTCTGTTTTACAAGTGGCATAGGTTTATGTGTCTCTGTGCCTTTTTTTGTATTGCAGATCCTTCTTTTTTTATTTTAGGGAGGAGTCTACAGGGTGTTCAGGGTCTCCCTACTAGATCGGACTCATAGTGATCGACCTGTCTACAGCCTCCCAAGAGCTGGGATTACAGGCCCGCATCACCATGTCCAGTCTCACTTACAATCTCAGAGTGCCCTGTGGCCTGGGGATTGAAATCCTGGCCCCCGCATCTGCTTGCAGGTGCCTTAATCCGTGGAGCTATTTGGCTGGCCCTGAAGATCTTTCTTGGTGATGTCACAATATTCCCTGTTTACCTCTGTTACCTCGTAAACCCATCACTCCAAGGCCTAAACAACGTCCTGTCCCTTGCAACTGCTGAGCCAGCTAGTCCTCAGAACCCAGTTATAAATTATTTTTATAGAAAAATTACACAAAGTCATATATATGTGAGCATTCTATTTTGGAACTCTTGTTTCCATATTATTTTCCTAATAAAATATTGAATGCTAGTTGCTTTAATAGGCGTCTCACTGGTGTGCCACACGGTTTACTAATTCTAAAGCTATAGATAAGCACTAATCTTAATTGAAAGTATTTAACCCTAATTGTTTTCTATCCATAAGCAAGCCCATAGTTCTTCTCATTTGTTCTTTTTGAATATACACTGAGTAGTCATTATATGTCAGGCCCTTGCTAGATACTTAGTAACACAAACAGGAAATGCGCAGCCTCTATCCCCGTAGGATTCTTTGTCACTTGCATTAATTGTGCTTGTAGTCAGCTGTTGAGAAATAAGGTTCTAAACTTGGCATTCACTGTTTTCAGGGCCACATGGTTCACAGGTTTTCTTTATGTATTTACTAAAAGCAAAAGAAGGAATGGCTGCTACACAATATGCATGAGGAGGCTACTGCTCTACAGAAGATGGTCCTGGCCAGCGGGGCTTTAGGAGACTCCACTCCTGGATTCTACACCTAATACTCTCGCTGTGCAGGGCAGTATTGCCTGTGTAAGAGGCTGGGGAGCACAGGTTAAGGTGTCAAACAAGTGCTTAGTTCCCATCTAAAATTGGGAGGAAATGAAGTCTGTTGTATAAAATGACCTGTGAGCATGAGATTGGCTATCTTATCTAAATGCGAGGAAGGATAGATAGCACAAGATTAAAGTTAGATATTGGCCAGACTTCCAGCACCAAGATAAATCCAGGCGTTGTCATTCACAGCATTCAGTCTGCATGATAGGTGACACCATTGTCTAGAGAATGGTACCATAGGATTAGGGTGACGACTTGTAATTATACTCAGAAAAATAGATGCCGATGTTTCATTTGCGTTACTTATTGCCCAAATCACATGCTCTGCTATGATGGTGTCCAGTGCTTTAGAAATATTAATAGTTAGCCATTGAGGTCTGCCACTTGAACTTGTCAGATTGATCATCCTATCAGTACTCCTGCTAAAGTTTCATTGAAAAATAAACATGGTATTAACTCTGAAGGACAAAGAGAACATAAGGGTTGACATGATGAAAGGTTCCAAAGAAGTTTGGAGGAAGCAAACTGGGGAAATAAATCTAATAAATGTAGAAATTGGAAGCTGAGTGACTGTAGGAGGCAGAGTACTTGCAAAACCCCAACTGCTTTGCAGACCCCCTGGGACATAGGACGGTTGGCTGAACACCTACACACAAAATGATGGAACTTCCTTGGTCCCTGCCACTTACCTAAGCAGTCAGGTACTGACTCTATCCTCACCTGTCACGATTAACACAGGGTTTGGTTCAGAGAAAGTAAATTCAGGGAAAAGTGGCACAGCAGATGATAAGAGTTTAGGAGTCTATAATATTATTATTGTAAAAATCAACTATTAACACGCAGGAATAGGAGGCTGCCTTGTTCCTAGGACCCCGGACGTCTGGCTTTATACTCTGCTGTGGGTCACATCTAGACCCCCCTCAGCGCCTCACATGCTCCTAGGCGGGGTTGAGGAGGTAGATGGATCATGGGTATGAGAAATGGCGGGTGGAAACATAGGTGTGGGAAATGGACTCCTCCACAGGTTAGTATGGCTAAGTAGATTTACTGAAGACAGAAGCATCACCCTGGGGATGTGTAGCCTGGGTGGAATAAAAAGGGAGAGAGGGAAAGCAAGCTCATTGCTTTCTGCCTGTCCTACCATGGACTGTTTCTCCTCTACCATGCCCCTCTTCCATGCCACCCTCTTTGTTTTCTTTTCTTTTCTTTTCTTTTTTTATTTTTTTTTTAATTTTTTAGTAAGGTTCTCAGGGTCTACAGGGTCAACCTACATAGATCAGACTTGTAGTGATCCACCTGTGTTCAGCCTTCCAAGAGCTGGGATTACATGGGTGCAGCACCACTCCCAGTCTCAGTTGTCATCTGAGCACCCCCTCCAGTGGGACCAACACAGCATGCTGGGGATCAAACCCCAGGCTCTGCATCAGCCTAAGCATGTGCTTTAATCTGCTGAGCTATTGTCACCCTATCTTGGAAGCCAGGCAATTATGGACTGAAACCTCTGCACATTGTGACCTCAAATAAACCTTTCCTTCTTTAACTTGAGGGTGTCTGACATGTCCTGACAACAGGGAAGTAACTAAGACATACCCTTGCTTTAGCACCACACACCAAGACTGATCTTCCAATCAGCTTCTCATTTTAACATAGGAAGGACAGCGGACAATCATTAGAAATTAAAGAAAAGAAAATTGAGCAGTGAAAGAGATTACAAACAAAAACAGAGCTGGTGAGATAGCTCAGTGGTTTAAGTGCATGCTTGGTAAGTGTAAGGACCCCGGTTTGATCCCCAGTAATACATGCTGTGCCGGCCCCATCCTGGGTGCACCATGACGGCCACAGAAACTGGGTGTGGTGGAACATACCTGTAATCCCAACGCTGGTGAGGCTGAGACAGGAAGATCACTGGGAATCTGAGCTATGTAATGAGACCCTGTACTAAATAAGTAAATAAAAGATTAAAGCAAAAAACAAACAAAGGATTACAGAAGAAAAAGACAATGAAACTGAAGAAGCAAAAAAAAACCATAGTTAATATCAAGAAGCTAAGTAAAAGATAGTCTGTCTTTGAGATAGAAGAATTCTATATGAAAAGGACAGGTAGAGGAAAAGAAACAGCTTTTGGAAATTAAAAAAACAATGAACAGTAAGAGGTTTGCTGCATCCTCCCTGGGTGGGCTGGCACAGCCTCACAGCTGCAGGAACGCGTGTGGTCTGGAAGAGCAGGAGCTTTGGTAGGAGGGTGGGCACTTCCATGGCACGAAGCTGGGACTGGGGCAGAGGAAGAGCTGCAGTAGCAGCGGGTGGGTTCATGCCTGGTGGAGGCGGCCCTGAGGTGTAGGTGTCCAGGTCGAGGAAGAGCCCATCTTGAGCCCATCAGATGTCTCCATGCCTGGCCTTCTTGTGGTCAGATGCCCAAACACCACATCTCCTAGGGTGTGAAGGATTCGTTATTGTAGGTTTGGCAGTCTGTTATGAGTCCAGCAACTTGGGCTGTTGAAACTCCTACCATTCGAATAAAAATTCCAGCCATAATAAACTGTGCCATTACGAATAGGCACAGTTTTTCTACCCTTAAGAAAAAGAACGTTTTACACTGAAGTCAGAGAAATTTTAACACGGAAGGGATTGAACCAACTTTTATTTTTTTATCTTGCACAGGAACTTTCATCTTGGCTGTCAATATTTTAGAGAGATCTTTGGCTCTTATGAACATACAACCTGAAATTTGCTTTGCCTCAGAGGCTATTGTTTTTGTTGGTTGCCAGAATAGCTGAAGAAGAACGCAGAATTTCATCCACTCATGAAGTAACCTAGATGAATTCATGTATGCATTACTTCTGATTAGAAATGAATGGAAAAAACAATTTCAGAAACAAATGTCAGAGCTTTGAATTGGAAACTACTGGTGTCTTAATCTCTCTGTCTCTCTCTCTGTCTCTCTGTCTCTCTCTCTCTCTCTCTCTCTCTCTCTCTCTCTCTCTCTCTCTCTCT